CCTCCCGAGTACTGGGATTATAGGCATTCATCACCAAGCCCAGCCCATTACCATTTCTTTGACTAACAATTTATTTACTATTCTTTATTTATTCTATTTTATAATGCTTCAGCATTTCTAAAAATTAAATATTTCAAAGTAAAGAACTGTCAACAATGACACTACTTAGATACTACTACACCTTGTGTTATTTATAAAGGGGCCATCCTGAAGGAATTATAAACTCCTAAAGAATAGGGACCACATTTTGCTCATTTTACAGTCCCCTGCCCCAAGACCACACAATAGGTACTTAATAGTTAAGTATATAGATGATGCTAAAGATGCAAAGGTAACTCAGAAAGGGGGTTCTAAAAAATGTTCTGAGCACTACCTCTGAAAATGACTACAAAAACAGAAAAAAAAAATCTCATCTGAAGATACTCATTTTCTGAAGAAAATCAATTTTCTGAAATCTTACACTATTACTGAATTATTTCACAACTGTCTTCCCTCCCTAAAAAGAATGTAAATACTGTAAATTCCTTGAGGGAAGAAACTTCCTTTAATTTTGATTGTTTTAAAAATGAATGAAATGCCGGGCATGGTGGTACATGCCTATGATCCCAGTACTCAGGAGGCTGAGGCAGGAGGATCACCAATACTAGTTCCAGGCCTGCCTGGGCTACATAGCGAGTTCAAGGCCAGCCAGAGCTACAAAACAAGACACTGTCTCAAAAAAAAAAGAATGCAATAAGAAAATGTAAATTAAACCATGTCTTTTTTTTTTCTTTTTTTTTTTTTTGGGGATAATGCAAAGGTAACTCAGAAAGGGGGTTCTAAAAAATGTTCTGAGCACTACCTCTGAAAATGACTACAAAAACAGAAAAAAAAAATCTCATCTGAAGATACTCATTTTCTGAAGAAAATCAATTTTCTGAAATCTTACACTATTACTGAATTATTTCACAACTGTCTTCCCTCCCTAAAAAGAATGTAAATACTGTAAATTCCTTGAGGGAAGAAACTTCCTTTAATTTTGATTGTTTTAAAAATGAATGAAATGCCGGGCATGGTGGTACATGCCTATGATCCCAGTACTCAGGAGGCTGAGGCAGGAGGATCACCAATACTAGTTCCAGGCCTGCCTGGGCTACATAGCGAGTTCAAGGCCAGCCAGAGCTACAAAACAAGACACTGTCTCAAAAAAAAAAGAATGCAATAAGAAAATGTAAATTAAACCATGTCTTTTTTTTTTCTTTTTTTTTTTTTGGGAAATAGGGTCTTGCTCTATAGTTCTGGCTGGCCTTGAACTCACTATATGGCCTCAAACAAATGGTGATCCCTCCTGCCTCAGCCTCACAAGTGCTAGGATTACAGGCATGAGCCACCATGCTCAGCTCTTAAACCAGTGCCCTTGCTCCAGACCAGATTCCAGATAAAATGAGCCTCGGATGAGAAGAGACCCTTTGATCCTCCCCTTCAATGTTTCTGCAGGATTATTACAGTTCCATTCTAATCCATTATCTGCATTCTTCCCTTAATCTAAAGGTCCTCCACAGGCAGATTCCTCCTCCACTTCCTCCAACACACACACACACACACACACACACACACACACACACACATTCGTTTGTCTACACTATTCTCACAGCACTCAGCAATTTCATACAGTCCCATCAGTCTTACTGACAGTAAATATACTTTCCAGCAGTCTTCAACACATATTTATTGAACACTCAAGAATTTGGCATGCTGGTGAGTGCCTGTAATCCCAACACTCAGGAGGATGAGACAGGAGGATCACATTGAATTCAAGGTCAATCTGGGTTATATAGTGAGTTCAAGGGCAGCTTGAACTATACAGTGAACCCCGTCTCCAAAAAACATCAAACTGTTAAATTTCCCCAAAGATGAAATAGTCCCAGCTCTAGGCCAGATTACAATCTAGTTACCATTTGCAAAACCAAGAATAATTCCCATTAACTAAGTAAATATAAAATTTAGCATAAAACTCTACTTGTGAATACTGTTAATAAGACTAAGGAAGCCTCCTTTGGAGAGAGATGGAGGCACACACCTGAATGCCCAGCACTCTGGGAGGCTGGAAGCAGGATCACAAATTCAAGCCCAGCCTAGGCAACTCAGAGATCCTAGCTCTAAATAAAAAATAAACCAGGTGTGGTGGCACACGCCTGTGATCCCAGCACTTGAGAGAATTGCCATGAATTCAAGGCCTGCCTGGGCTACATAGTGAGTTCAAGGCCACCATGAACTACATAGCAAGACTGTCTCAAAGGGGGTGGGGCTGGCAATGAACCTTAGTGCAAAGGTCCTGGGTTCATGAACATACCCAGTACTGGGGAAGGAGGGGGTGCAGTTACTTGAACAAGACTTCCTAAACATAGAGCTGTTTTATATTCTCCCAGTCCCATCACACGGACTGGTACTCAGATACAGATTGCAAAAACGCTCATATTTTAAGACATTATCCTAATGAATGAATAGCATAGTTCTTCCCAACATATTCCCATTATATCAGTGACTTCAATATACTCATTTTCTTCTAACTGCCACAAACTTCAGTCATACCACACTGTGAGTTACAACCTGTTCATGACAACTCTATCAAAAGCCCTCAGGATTCTTTTTTTCTTCAGCATTCCCTACAAATTATCCTCACCTCCATCAAATGCTGTCCCTCATCCCCTTATCACATTTTTCTGTTTCTCCTCCCACCCCACCCAAAACACATCCATCCACACTGTTCTGTCCTAAAACCTAAGAACTGCTGCAGAAGCCTTCAAGGAATATCCTGGGGTCGCTGGTACACAGTTCCTGGTCCCAGTACTAAAACTCTCCATGAGGACACTGCAAATGCAACCTGGAAACTAATTCCAAGATGAACTACCGTCACAGTCAAGTAACTCCTTGTCTCTAACCAGCAAATTTAATGCTGCAAGGGTGCTGTTTCCTACCACCCAGACTTCCTTAACTTCCCTTTGTGATTTACCCAGGATTTCCAGCCTAACCCTAAACACTTCTCTCCTCCTCAAAGGGGTCCTAGTCTAAACCCTCATCTAACACAGTGGAGAAATCAAGAGACAGAGCCTAAAGTAGTCAGACTAAATTCAAAGCATAAGCTTATTATTTAAAGATACAAGCATGAAATAAAGAACTCAAATAATAACAATAAAATCAGAAAGGAGAAAAAGCAGATAAGGTCAATGACACAAAACTTTCTCATTCATGGCAGTGTGACTCCTTTCCAGGCAAGCGGCGGAACCACTGAGCTAAATCCCAGGCCCCAGTCTGACTCCTTGATAATGTCATTTTGATAAACGAATAATGTTATATGCCTGTTACTTGGAGACCTAAAGAATTCAAAGCATGGAAAGAACTACAAAAAAATAATTAGAATTAGTAATCTCATTACCAGGTGTGGTGGTGAACCCCTAAAATTCCAGCACTTAGGATGAGGCAGGAGGAGCTCCAAAATTTGAGGCCAGCCTGGGCTACATAGTGAGTTCAAGGACAGCCTGAACTCTAAAAAGCAAGATACTCTCAAAGCAAAAAAAAGTGTGTGTGTGTGTGTGTGTGTGTGTGTGTGTGTGTGTGTGTGTGTGTATTATTTCAGAACTTAAAAGACAAGAAAAACAATGACATACCATATTTAAGTGCAGTATACCTACAAAAAACAGATAATATTAAGTACTAAAGAGGGGAAGGGAAGGAAAAAAAATGACCTTCTCATACTATGACATAAAAACAGGTACACATACTACTATATAGTGCAAAGTTCTTTCACAAAGTGAGTAAATCTAAATGTACCGACAAAGTTTTCCAAATGCTTAAAGTAATAATGCCAGGTTATTTCTATAAGAAAATTTATAAAAATAAAAACCCCTCTCCACTCCAATGATAAATTAGGGTTCTTTACAGATATAGTACCTACTAAAGGAATGAATTTTCCCTTCCCTTTCCCAAATTTCATTCCATCTTCCCCATTAATCTCTTCACTTTTAATTTGTTTCACATTTAACATGCTTATGACTCTCTTCAGTGGAAGAACTATTACAACGAAATGTAGTATTTAATACCAAAAGTGAATAATACCTGGGCAAATGTTAAGAGCATGGTTCTTACAGTCAAGCCTGTAGCAAACACCTATAATTCTGGCACTGGGGAAGCTGAAGCAGGAGGCCTTCAAATTCAAGGCCAGTCTGGGCTGGGCTACATAGCAAGTTCAAGGCCCTGACCCTAACAGCCCCCTGCCAAAAATAAAAAATAAAAAACAAAAAGTGCTTTCTCCCAGAGCTCCCTCATGGAAAGGGAAATGGAAATCAGGTCTGTTGTGGGCTCTGTAAATCCAGAGCTTAGTTCATTCCTGATAGAGATATTAACTGTCCCTCCACTCTGGCTTTAGAATCATCCAGTCTCTTCAGGTTCTTACCGTCCTGACCTCCTTACAATCTAAGACCAAAACTGACATTCTAGAAATCCTCCATTCTGCATGCCTGCATTTTGCTGGCAGCTATATTTTCTTCAACATCACCATGGCTCAGGGGAGTACATTTGGTTACTGTGAATGGCAAAAGATATCCTGCCAGCCCCACAGGTCCAGAACCAATCGAGCAAACTATACTCGTGTGAGCTACGGAGCTCCCCCCACCATCAAGTATAATCTCATGTGCTACAACCCAGGCTGAATGATAGGCACCAGCTCCACGGGTCCAAATAAGATGGACAGCGAAGAAGAAAAGCACTGAGTAAAGTAATTTCCATTCCAGCATTTGCCAGAACAGTGTTCATCCAGCTTCTGGTAAGTAACAGTAATCTAGATCTGCTAAAAATCCAAATTCTCCGGCCTTAAGAATCCCTCCCCACAGGCAGGCTCTTTTTTCAAAGTCTGTTAAAAGGGTTTTCATCTTCCCTGGTGCAAGACTAAAAGGTCTCAAACCAAACTATAATCTAAGGTCTCATTCTCAACGACCCCCACCAAGGCCCAGACCCACACTTACCAGACGTCATCTACTGAAGAGCCCAGACAGGTTCGGAACGAGGCCGTCCTGGCCCATCTGGAATAACTCTTTAGTCCTTGGGCCAGCGTTTATTAATTATGCCACATCTGTCTATTCTATTATGCATTCCCTGATCTTCTCTAATATTTAGCACTCCTCCTGGCTTCAAACGCTTTCCTTTCTATTCAAGGAAAACTCCTGTATCCCTTCTTCCCTTGCCTCGGAAACGCTCCACTTCTTCCCATAATGAAATACCTAACGTAGCTGCACAATGAACACCCCTCGGAAATCTCAAGACTCCTCTAGGGCCACCCCTGCATTCCTCCACCTCCCCGGCTGCGTCCCCATCCTCTCCCCCTCTCGCGATCCCACCGGCTTCCTGCAGGCGTTCCCTCTCCCCATCCCCTGCCCTTCCCTGCTCCCGAAGAGCACACTGGGGCAGCAGCCGCGACTGAGGCCTGCGGCGCAGAAAGCACTGCACCAGGCTCGGCGGACAGAGAGCGGCGTCCGCCCGGCCTCCTCACACCCACACCCGGCACCCCGC